TTATATTTCTTATGTTTTTTAAATTTATATTTTAAATTTAATAATTTCTATATATATAATAGTAATTATAATAAATAATTGTTGGGGGGTATATCTATAAAAATAGATAGTAAAAGTGAATAAATAAAGATAAATTATAAGTCCCGATCAGGTTCCCCTAATCGAACCGTATTTCAACTTACAACTAGTTAAAAACATTATTATTTCTAAAAATAAAGCTCTTCCGAAAACGTATATAATATTTTATCCTAGCTGTTGATGAGTGGTTAGTACGAAATAGTATTAAATTTCACCGTAACTCTCTTGTTTACGATTACTAGCAATTCCTTTTTCATATAATCGAATTTCAGATTATAATCCATATAAAAGTATTTAAATATTTATATATAAATATATATATATTTATTAATTAACTATAATCTTATTGTTTAAATTTATTTATATTAATATAAATATAATTGTCAATAACATCGTAACACGTTTATAGCCCATCTCATAAGGGTCATCATGATTAGTCTTCAACCTCGACTTCCTAGTATAATAAATATACTACGTTATTATATATATATAATATAAATATTATATAAAATATATAAAAGGGTTACGTTCATTTTATAACTTAATATAATACTTCATAGCATGAACTGACGACAACGATGTAACGCCTGTAAAATATTCAAGAGATGGTAAGGTTCTAGGAGGATCATCCAATTAAACAACATGTTCCACTGCTTAAGACTACAACCGTCTAATGTCTTGTATTTCACTCTTGCGAGCGTACTATTCAGGCGGAATACTTTACATTTTAATTTTTCTATATTTCTTATTTTATTGAAATATTTATAGTATTCATAGTTAACTGCTATGACTAATTGGGTACCGAATCCATTTTGCAACCATAGCCTTCATCTCACAATGTCAATATATTTTTAGTTATTTCTTTGCTGTTATAATATTTTCATAATATTTTATCCCTTAAATATTATTTCATATAACCTACTAATATATTCTAGTTTATATAAAAATATAAACCATACTACTGATGCTTTAAGCCATTATGATTAATGCTAGCCCACTAAGTATAACCGCAGCTGCTGGCACTCATTTTGGTCAGGACTATTATTTAATTAAAATCATTATTTCTAATTAAATCTGAAGTTTATAGTTAATCTTTTATTATTTATTTTTATTCTTATATATATTTATATAAAAATATATACTCATATTTATGAGTATTAATAACTTATTAATAAGTTATCTTATTATTAATATCCTTCTTGTAGATAGCTTGATCAATCGTTAGATCATTGTCAAATATTCCTCACTGCTGCTCTATATAAGAGATAAGTTTCCTTATTGTGACCATTCTGACCTTAATCACTGGCTCTAGTTCTACGGCTAGATATTACTCTATTACCTACATCCTATTATATATTTATCATTCTTATTCAAATGTTCATATATATTTTCACTCACCTATACGCTAATATATATTATTATATATATTTAAACTTGCATGTGTTATGCTTCTACATAGCATTTAATCTGAACCAACATCATGTTCTCATTATTTTATTTAATTTTTTATTTATATGTTGAATTACTCAGAATTGAACTGAGATACATCCATTATGAGTGGACTGCTCTACCATTGAGCTATAATTCATTATAATTTTTATTTATTTCTTATTTATTTTTATTTATATATTCCTCTTCTATTTATACTTTTATATAAAGGATATATGTGTAGTAGACAGACTCGAACTATCATAATAAAATCATGAGTTTTATATGTTACCTATTACATTATACTACTATTAACCTTTATTAATTTAATGACATAGTAAGAATCGAACTTACATTATATTATTCGTAATAATATGCACTAACCATTATACTATATGTCAATGTATATATATTTATATTTTTATTTATTTATATTTATTTATTTATATTTATATACGGATAACCAGCGAATCGAACGCTGACAGTTAAAAACAGCTACATAGCAAGTAGGTTGGCTTACCAATACCGAGTTATCCTGTATAACATATTATATATACTCTTCTCCTTATATTTATGGTAAGGATTCTTATTATAGAGTTATAATATATTAATAAACCTCTTTCATTAAAAAAGTAGGAAAAAAACGACTTGCATCAGATTCGAACTGACATCTCTTATAGCGACATTATAAGGCTTTAACCATTAAGCTACCAAGACGTACTGAGTCGGCATGATTCGAACATACATATACCTAGCTCAAATCTAGGGGACTTACCGATTAGTCAACGACTCATTTTATATATTTATTTTAGTCTAGTAAGAATCGAACTTACATTTACCGATTATCAATCGATCTCTCTACCGTTGAGATATAGACTAAATATATATATATATTTATATATTCTATATTATACCTTTCCTTTATAAAATATATGTATTTGAATATATATACCTTTAATATAATTTATATATATATAATATATCTTATAATAAATATTAGAAATATTATAATTATAAAAGGTTTTATTTATTTATTTTTTATATAAATAATGTTTTAAAGGTTTAATTATAGGTGTATAATTTCTAGTTAAATTTAAAGCACCTAAATTTATTTCATAAACAAAAGCTATAACTAATTGTAATAAGAATATAATTAATATTATTAAACCATATAAACCATTAGTATATGCACTTATAACATAAGGTAATATAGATGATATTTCTAAATCAAAAGGTAAGAATAATATAGCTATTAATATGAATGATACATTAAATGCTGATCTTGATTGATGATAAGATGTGAAACCACATTCAAAAGGTCCATTTTTTTCAACATAAGGGTTTTCATTAGATATTAAATAATTTATTAATATTAATACTACAGCTACTATAGGAGCTAAATAAAAGAAAAATGTAAACATATTATATTATTATAATATATAACCCTTCTAATAAATATGGTAAATATATAAAGAATGTTAATAATAATATTAAACATATTGATAATATATAAGCATTAGTTGAATTAATATTATTAACTTCTAATATTTTATTATCATTTTTACTTGTCATTAATATTTTTATTATATTTGAATAATAATAAGTAGCTAATACACTACATACTATTATTAAACATGTTTCTAATATATAATTATCTTGCATTGCTCCTGTTAATACATATAATTTAGCATAAAAACCTGGTAAAGGTGGTATACCTATTAATGAAAATAATGCTAATATTAATATAAATGATAATGTTAAATTTGGTAATCTTAATTGATGTATATATAATAATGGTGATCATTTTGTTATTGGTTTTTCTATATATTCACTAGCACTTAATATACCTATAAATAATATTATATGTGTTAATACATATTGTATTATATATACATAAAATGATATATCATATGTTATTATTGTTAATAATACATATCCAAAATTTAATATACCACTATATGCTAATATAGTTTTTATATTTATTTGATATAATGGTTTATATGATCCTATTAATAATGATACATAAAAGAATATTATAAATATATAATTATTAAATAAATTTGAATTTACATATAATCAACATCCTATAGATATTTTAGCTACTATACTTATATATGCTGTTATATATGTAGGTGCATAATTATATACTGATATACTTCAACGATGTAATGGTGCTAATCCCATTTTAAATAATAATGCTATAACTATTATATCAAAATAATCTTTTATTGATAAATTTATATAATTATTATTATTATTTGTATTTATTATATCATTTAATAATGATATATCAGTTAAATTAGTTGTACCTGTTATATTATATATATAATATGATCCCATTAAAATTATTACTGATGCTATACCTCCCATTATAAAATATAATAATGATGCTCTTGATGCATTATATGATTTATTATGTAATCCTGTTAATAAATATAATGAATAACTTTGTAATTCTATTATTATATATAATGTTAATAAATCATTTACTAATGGTAATAATATTAAACCTATCATATTAGATATTATTAATAATATATAAAAATTAGATTTTAAATTATATTTTACATTTGTTGTATTATATAATAATAATATTATTATTATCCCAAATATTAAATATGTTAATGGTAAATTATATGTTGTTAATTTAAATCAATTATTAAATATTGTTATACCTGGTGTTAAACTTACTATACTTATTGAATTTATATATAGTATAAATGTAAATATTATTGTTATTGTACCTAATCTATTTATTAATATAGAATTAGATAAAGTTGAGTAAACTAAAAATATTAAATTTGATGTTAATAACATCTTATCCTTTTATATTTTATACTTCTTTATATTTTATATATTTATATAATATTATTATTTATATATTAAGGGGTATATATATATATATATATTTGAATATTTATTTAATTATTATATATTTTAATGTAAGTATATACTATCTTTTATGTATCCTGAGAATAATATACAGAAAACATAAGCTTGTATCATAGATATAGCGAATTCTAATATAACTATAGCTACTACACCTAACATAGGTATTATTCCAAAGAATATACCAAATATAGATGAGTTTATTAAATTAAATATTAATGAACCTAATATTAACATTAATAAATGACCTGATAATACATTAGCTGATAAACGTAAACCTAATGATATAGCTCTTGAACTATTAGATAAAGTTTCTATTAATACTAATACTGGTACTAATGGTAATGGTGTTCCATTTGGTACAAATAATGAAAAATATACTAATTTATGTTTTGCTAAACCTAATATTGTTACTCCTAATCATAAACTTAAACTTAATGATACTACTGGTACTAATTGTGCTGATATAGCAAATGAATAAGGTATCATTGATACTAAGTTTGCTATTAATATAAATGTAAATAATGTAAATATTAAAGGGAAATAATATCCTCCTTTATTACCTATTTGACTTTTTACCATATTTAATATTGTATCATATATAGCTAATATTGCTAATCCTCATCTATTTCATTCTAAATTTGTTTTATTTAATAATGTTATCATATTATATATTATAAAACTTACTATCCCTAAATATACTACATAATTCGTTATACTTAATGCTAATATATCATTTATTATTAATAATATTTTTATCTCAAATTGCTCTAATGGTGAATGTATAAACATTTTTTTTATATTATTTTTCTATATATATATATAATCTAATATATCTTATTTATACCTTTCTTATATTTATATATTTAAATAAGGTATATATATTTAAGATAATATTTCTATTTATAAAAATATTTTATATTAAATTATATATTTATATTTATACTTTTATATTATATATATATTATATTTATTACCATCTTATCTTTAAACATTATTTATTATAATATATAATATATATATTATATATAGGTAATAATGAATAAGTATGATATATTTATTATATTTTATTATAAAACCTTATTAATAAGGTATATTATATAATATTTATATATATTATATATTTAATTAAAGTAATTAAAGCAATATATTTTTATATATTTACTTTATATTTTTATTATATATATATATCTTAAATCATAAATATGGTTAAGATATAATATAGATTTATTTAAATATAACTATAATTAGTTATATATTTAAATATTTATAAATTAACTATTATAGATCTTGTTAATAATAATTTAACAATATTAGGTAATAATTTTGTTGAAACTATGTATAATAAGAAAGTTATAGTTAATATTCCAAATGTTAATAAATTAACAAAATAAAAAGGTACTAATTGTGGCATTTAATTTAATAATTATTTTATAAAGATAAATTCTTTATTTTTAAATATAGAATATTATATATATAATATATATATAATTATATATGTATTCTTTCAGATTGAAGAGACTCGAACTCCTATAATCCTACTCCCAATGTAGGTGCGTTACCAATTACGCAACAATCTGTTATATATTAACCTATATATATATAAATATAAGAATATAAAAGATAAAATATAATCTTTAAGATTATTTTGTTTCATATATATATTCTCCTTCCTTTTAAAAGGGAGGGGTTTAAAAGATTTTATATAATATTATATTGAATATCATGATTTTGCTATATTAAAGTCTTATATTTATATAATTAAATTTATTAATAAATAAATAACATGAATTCAAAAAGAATATCGAGGGAATCGAACCCTATAAGAATTAATTTGCAATTAATCTACCTAACCATAGATAACGATATTCTGTAATTATATTTTTATACTTTTTAAATTATATTTAATAGTTATATATATATATATAAGAAAAAAAGATGTATTATTATTATATGACAAGCGTGACTCGAACACGCAAGATAGCATTGGAAGTGCCAGGGTTTACCAGTTAACCTATTGTCACATTTATTATAAATTATTAACTATAATATGTATATTTAATAGAAGTATAATATATATTATAGAAATCTTTACCATCTTTATAGGTAAGTATTTATTATATAACCACAATGGGAATCGAACCCATATATATACTGTGAAGTAGTAGTATCATACCATTAGATCATATGGTCATATTTTATATATTCTTATATATAAGGGTATAAATATATAAGTATAAATAAGTAAATGCCGTATTGAGGAATCGAACCCCACACCTTCCGATTACAAAACGGACGCTATGCCTGGTTAGCTTATACGGCATATTTTATTAAAAATATATAAGTAAATATATTACCATTAAATAGGTAATATAACCGTTTCCTCTTACTTAAAATATATTTTATAAGTATATATCCCCTTCCATCTAGATGGAAGGGGCTTCTATATATAAATATAAATAAATATGCTTAAGATAGGAATTGAACCTATATTAGATGCATATGAGGCAACTGTTCTAACCATTGAACTACCTAAGCTATAATTATAATAAGGATAACTACTGAGAATCGAACTCAGATATATTGCTCCACATACAAGTGTTCTACCGTTGAACTATAGCTATCTTATTTATTATATATATATTCTTTTATATATATAAATTATAATAATAAATTATATATAAATATTTATATTTATACCCAAAGTAAGTAATATATTGGGGAAAAGTTTCTTAATAAATATACTATAAATAATAGAAAATAGTATAAATAAAAAGATATTTATAAATTGAGGAGAGACTGAATCGAACAGTCGAAGCACTACGGCACTAAAGCTACAATTTAGGTCTAATTACCAACATTAGAATCTCCCCTTTATATATACCACTCCCGAATAAAAGGGAGGGGAATGTTTATAATATTACGGTTAGTAGGAGTCGAACCTACACGGTCTAAGCCCGAACATCTTAAGTGTTCTATGTCTACCATTTCATCATAACCGCTTATCCTATATATGAATATATAAAATATATGTATTTATTATTAAATATAATTAATTCTAATAAAGATAACTTTAAAAAGATTAAAATTATATAAAATTAAACAGCATATAATAATAAGAATGATATCATTAAACAGAATAATCCACAAGCTTCTGCTAAGGCAAATCCTAATATTGCTTGTGGGAATAATGTAGCACGTAATGATGGGTTACGTGATGTACCATTTATTAAAGCTACGAAAACCATAGCTATTCCTATGGCTGCTCCTCCTAATCCTAAAGTAGCTATTGAAGCTCCTATGTATTTAGCTGCTAATGTTAATTGCATTTTATTTATATTTATTATTTATTTCTTATTTATTTTATTTTCCATAATATATAATATATATATATATATTATTTATTAGGTTATATTTAATTAAATATATTATATTATTCTAATTAACCTTTAATTAAATGGGAATATTTGAATATATATATAGGGGTAAAATATTAATATATTTTAAGTAATTATCTAGGTGTAACTAATATAGGTAATTCTCTGAAAGTATGGAATTCAGCAGGTCTACTTAATATTAATTCTAAAGCATGATCTCTATTAGATCTAGTTAAATTAGCTTCTAAGAAATCTGGAGTAACTTGAGTATCAAACTCTTCATTAGTACCATTTTCTAATTGAACTAATACACTTTTTAATCCTGCTAATACTGATATTATAGATATAGCTGAACCTATACTACTAATATAGTTTCAACCTATGAAAGCATCAGGATAATCAGGTATTCTACGAGGTTGTCCGTTTAAACCTAAGAAGTGCATAGGTAAGAATATTATGTTAACTGATATAAATAATAATCAGAAGTGTATTTCAGCTCAAACTTTATTATAATTTAATCCAAACATAGCTGGACCTCAATAATAATAAGCTCCTATTAAACTAAATAAAGCACCCATAGATAATACATAATGGAAGTGACCTACTACATAATATGTATCATGGAATGCTACATCTATAGATGCATTAGATAACATAACACCTGTTAAACCACCTATAGTGAATAAGAATAAGAATCCTAATGCAAATAACATAGGTACTCCTAATCTTATTTCTCCTCCATATAAAGTAGCTAATCATGAGAATATTTTTATACCTGTAGGTACAGCTATTATCATTGTAGCTGATGTGAAGTAAGCTCTAGAATCTATATCTAAACCTACTATATACATATGATGACTTCATACTAAGAAACCTAATAATCCTATAGATCCCATAGCATATAACATACCTACTTCTCCAAATATAGGTTTTTTAGAATATGTTGAAACTATATGTGATATTATTCCAAATCCAGGTATTATTAATATATATACCTCTGGATGTCCAAAGAATCAGAATAAATGCTCATATAATATAGGATCTCCTCCAGCTCCTACTTCGTAGAAACCAGTATTAAAGTTTCTATCTAATAATAATAAAGTAACACCAGCTGTTAATACAGGTAATGATAATAATAATAATATTGCTGTAAAGAATATAGCTCATACAAATAATGGCATATTTATCATATGCATACCTATTGTACGCATGTTTAATATAGTTACTATAAAGTTTATAGCACCTAATAAACTAGATATTGTTGTTAAATGTAATGCAAATATAGCTAAATCTACTGAAGGTCCTGAATGTGAACCTATACTTGATAATGGTGGATAAACTGTTCATCCTGTACCTGGTCCTGATTCTATAAATACTGATACTATAACACATACTAATGCAGGTGGTAAACATCAGAAACTTATATTATTTAATCTAGCAAATGCCATATCTACAGCACCTATTAATATAGGTACAAAAAAGTTACCAAAAGCTCCTATTAATACAGGCATTACAAATAAGAATATCATAGCTATAGCATGTCCTGTTACTATAACATTAAATGCTTGATGGTTATTATAAAAGAATTGACTATTACCATTAGCTAATTCCATTCTTATTAATACTGACATACCAGTTGCTACCATAGCTGATACCATACCAAATATTAAATATAATATAGCTATATCTTTATGTGAAGTACTAAAAAGTCAACGTGTTACGTAATTCAACTTTATTAAAGTTTATTTCTTAATTTATTTATTTTATAAATCTTTATTATTTTATAATATAATATATTATATTTTATATATTATATTTATTTAAACCCTTCTTATCTTTATGAGATAGGTTATTATATATATTTTAAATTATAAATAATTAACTTATTATAAGATATAATAATCTTATTAACCTATATAAAAGGTTAATAGTATTATGACTATGGCGGAATTGGTAGACGCGATTAGTTTAGGTCTAATTATTTTTAAATATAAGGGTTCAAATCCCTTTAGTCATATATATAACATATATATATATAAATTATTTGAATATATATAATTTATAATAAATATAAATATTTCCTAAAATATATTAATAAATACCTCCTTCCATAATAATGGAAGGGGCTTCAATATTAATAATAGGGGTTATAAATTATTATAATATAGAAGGGTATAATTTATGATCCTCATCAGTACATAACTATATATATAAATAATCATATTATATCTAAAACATGTAAATATAATATAGTAGTTTCTGCACCAACATGAGAAGTATTAGTGAAATCATAATTATAAACTCTTCAAGTACATATAGCTAACATTATAGCTAACATTATCATATGTATACCATGTAAACCAGTAGCACTGAAGAAAGCTGAACCATAAACACTATCAGCGATAGTAAAGCTTGAGAAACTATATTCTAAACCTTGACAGAATACGAATACTACTATTAATATAGTACTATATATAAAACCATATAAAGTATTTTTACGGTCTTTATTTATTAAAGCATGATGAGCATATGTTATAGTTACTCCTGATGCTAATAATATTATAGTATTTAATAAAGGTAATTCTGCTGGTGATATAGCTTCTATACCCATAGGTGGTCACATCATACCTATTTCAACATTAGGGTTTAATGCTGAATGTAAATATGCTCAGAATAATGAAACAAATATTAATATTTCACTAACTACGAATAATATGAAACCTTGGTTTATACCTCTTTTAACTGCTATTGTATGATCTCCTAAATATGAACTTTCTGCTATTATATCTTTAAATCATAATGTCATACTATAAAATACTACAAATATTGCTAAAAATATAAAGTAGTTATGTCCTATATAACCATGTGATGTTAAAGCTATTGATAATGCTAAATTCATTAAACTAAATGATGTAAATATTGGTCATGGTGATGGACCAACTAAATGAAAAGGATGTAATTGTATATTACCTCTAACTTTATTTGTCATGTTTTTTAATTTTATCCTTTTTTATAAAAGGTATACTTTTTTATTTATATTTTATCTTTTATCTCATTATTTTTAATAAATGATAGATATTATATATATTAATATACTTATATTAATATATATTGATATATTAAAACCTCTCCCTTAATATGGTATAAGGTATATATCAGTAATCTATAAATATATCATAATATTTATATATTATATAGATATAAATATAGTAATAAATGTTTATATATTTTATACTATATATAGTATAATTTATATAATAATATTCTATTATATTTAATGATTATTAAATAAATTTATAATAAATATAACCTTATATAATCTTCTTATAATTAATATAGGAGAAACAAATAGAAGGAGCTTTATTATAATAGAATAAATGAGTTAAATTGGAATTGAACCAATATTGATTACTTAAAAGGTAATAGTCTTAACCATTAGACGATTAACTCTAATAAATATATATTGCCTACGTCGAGAATTGAACTCGCATCAATCGCGCTTCAAGCGATTGCTTTAACCAATTAAGCTACAAAGGCATATTTAAACAAGAGTAAGTAGAATCGAACTACTATTGTATGTGTTGAAGACATAGGCTTTACCATTAAGCTATACTCTTATTTTAATTATATCCCCTTCCATATATAGAAGGGGTATATATAATATATATATTTATTAAAATATATTTATTATATATATTTTATATAAAATATTGTATAGGCTATGTAGGAATTGAACCTACGGCTTAGATGTGTAAGATCCATGATTTAACCACTAATCGAATAGCCTTATATATAATATAGTCATTAACCTTTTACTTTTTTAGTAAATCATAAATAATATCTAGTTGGGAATCGAACCCAAATAATCATTTTAGAAGAATGATGTTCTACCATTAAACTACAAGATATTTTAATATCTTGTCCTATAATATATACCCTTTTATATAAAAATGGTAAATACATCTATGATGTATCTATAAATATATATATAATATAAGTATATATAGGTTAATATTGATAAAAATAAATAAAAATATAAAAATAAAGAAAAATATAAAAATAAAATAAAAATAAAAATAAAATGACTTACAGAAAAAGTAATATTTATTTATCTTTAGTTAATAGTTATTTAGTAGATAACCCAGAACCAAGTTCATTAAATTATTGATGAAATTTTGGAAGTTTATTAGGATTATGTTTAGTAATACAAATAGCATCAGGAATATTTTTAGCTATGCATTATTCATCACATATAGAGTTAGCTTTCAATTCAGTAGAGCACATAATGAGAGATGTTAATGCTGGTTGATTAATACGTTATATACATGCAAATGGAGCATCATTCTTTTTTATATGTATGTATTTACACATAGCTAAAGCATTATATTATGGTAGTTATAAAAAACCTAGATTTACTGCTTGAGCAATAGGAGTTATAATATTTATAGCAACTATGGCAACAGCTTTCATGGGATATTGTTTAGTTTATGGACAAATGAGTCATTGAGGAGCTACAGTTATAACTAATTTATTATCAGCTATACCATTTATAGGAGGAGATTTAGTACCATTTATATGAGGAGGTTTCAGTGTAAGTAATCCTACTATACAAAGATTCTTTGCTTTACATTATTTATTACCTTTTGTATTAGCAGCATTAGTTATAATGCATTTAATGGCAATACATGCTCATGGTTCATCTAATCCTTTAGGTATAACTGGTAATGTTGATAGATTACCTTTCCACAATTATTATATATTTAAAGATTTAGTAACAGTATTTATATTCTTAATAGTATTTAGTTTATTTGTTTTCTTCTCACCTAATACTATGGGTCATCCTGATAACTATATACCAGGTAACCCTATGGTTACACCTGCTTCTATAGTACCTGAATGATATTTATTACCTTTCTATGCTATATTAAGATCTATACCCGATAAATTAGGAGGAGTTATAGCTATGTTTGGAGCTTTATTAATATTATTAGTATTACCTTTAACTGATAAATCTATAATAAGAGGTAACTCATTTAAAATAATATCTAAATTCTTTTACTTCTTATTTATATTTAATTTCTTCTTATTAGGTCATTTAGGTGAATTACATATAGAAGTACCTTTCATATTATTAGGTCAATTATCTACAGCTTTCTATTTCTCTTACTTTATAATAATTATACCTGTTATATCATATTTAGAAAATATATTATTCTATTTATCTAATAAATAAATATTTATTATATTAATTAATTTATTCAAATATATATATATATATATATACCTTATATTAAAATACCCCTTAAAATATAATAGAAATATTAACATTATTAAAATATTTATATATTTATATATCTATATATAATGTAGGTTAAGATATAAATATATAATATACATAATATATTGATTTACCTTTCTATCTAGATTAAAGATGAGGGGAAGATATATATCTATATTTATATATGGATGTATGGCTGAGTGGTTTAAAGCGTAATATTTGAGCTATTAAGACATAATTGTCCACGTGTTCGAATCACGTTGCATCCGTTATTAAAAATAAATATCTCATCTTATATATAATATATAGGAGAGGTACTAATCTATTTATAAATATAAATTAGATTAATATATATTAAACAATCTACTATTTAATTAAATAGAAAGAGTTTATAATTACAAAGATATAAAATATAAAAAATAATAAATAAATGACTTTAACATTATTAAGTGTTTCTACAATAACATCAATAATAAGTAGAATAATAAAGAATAAATATAAAGAAATAATATTAGTATCAAGTATATTAATAATAATACCAACATTATATGAGTGACAAGAAGTAGATACATATTTTAGAACAGATGGTATAGCGGATATATTAATATTATTAACGGTATATTTAGTACCATTATCAATAATATCAAATTGAAATAATATAAAAGATATATTATATTATGAATTAATATTAAATTTAGGAATAATATTAATAATAAATTTTATATGTCAAGATATGACATCTTTCTATATATATTTTGAGGCATCATTAGCACCTTTATTTATAATGATAGGTTTATATGGAGCAGCTAATAGAGATAAAGCAGCTGATTATATATTAATATATACATTATTTTCATCATTATTTATGTTATTAGCTATAGCATTATATGAAGTAATATTAGATAATACAGATTATGAAGCAACAAGTATGATATTCTTATCTATAGAATTACAAAGTATATTATTTATAGCTATATTTATAGGTATAGCTGTTAAAACACCTTTATCACCTGTACATACATGATTACCTGTAGTACATTCAGAATCACCATTAGCAGGATCAATATTATTAGCAGGAGTTATATTAAAATTAGCTATATATGCTATAATAAGATTAATAATACCTACTTTAACATTAGCAACATTATTATATACACCTATAATATATATATTATGTATAATAACTATAATATATACATCTATAATAACATTAAGACAAACTGATTTAAAAGTTATAGTAGCTTATAGTTCTATATCACATATGGCAGTATGTATGTTAGGAATATTTTCTAATAGTATAACTGGTTTAACAGGAAGTTTAGTATTATCAATAGCTCATGGTTTTGTATCACCTGGTTTATTTATAATAGTAGGAGGTATATTATATGATAGATATCATAATAGATTATTACATTATTATCAAGGTTTAATAACATATATGCCATATTTATCAGTATACTTTATAATATTAAGTTTCTGTAATGTAGGAACTCCATTATCTATAAATTTCATAGGTGAATTATTATCTATAACTGGTACTATAGATAGAGCACCATTATTAGGTATATTAGCATCTTTCTCAGTATTATTATCAGCATGTTATCAAATGAAATTAACTAATAGATTAACAGGTGGTATAAAAACACCTTATTTACATTTAACATCAGATGTAACATATAGAGAAACATTCTTATTATTATCTTTAATAATACCTACTATATATTTAGGTTTCTTCCCTAATTGATCTATAGATTTCTTATGAAGTTTAACTAACTTAATATATACTATATATTAATATTATTAAAAATCTTTCATATTATTTTAAAATAATATATTATATATTCAAATAAATATTTATATTAATATATATATATTAATATGTATAAAATAATTAACATAATAGAATTAGAAGATATATAAGATATATAATAAATGATATCAATGTTAACAACAATATTAAGTTTATATATTAGTAAAAATAATATAATAACTTTATTAATTGGTATAGAAATATTATTATTAACAGTAACATTAAAAATAATATATGTAGGAGGTATATATGATGATGTACAAAGTACATTATATAGTTTATATATAATAATATTAGCAGGTGCAGAATCAGCTATAGGATTAAGTATATTAGTATCATATTATAGATTAAGAGGGAATGTAACTAATATATTATAATGAATATATTTAATTATTTATATTTTATATATGAAGAAGCAACATTAATTAATTTAGGTACATGATTAACTATAGGTAATTTAGATATAAAATATGGTTTATTATTAGATAGTTTATCATTATCAGTTATGGTACCAGTAGGTATAGTAACATTATGTGTATTATTTTATGCTATAGAATATATGGCACATGATCCTAATCGTAATCGTTTTTATATAATATTAAGTGTATTTGCTATATTTATGACTATATTAGTCGTTAGTGAAAACTATTTAATGATGTTTATAGGTTGAGAATTTGTAGGAGTTGTATCATATTTATTAATATCTTTCTGAAATACACGTGTTACAGCTATGAAATCAGCTTTATCAGCTATATTATTAAACCGTATGGGAGATACATTCTTTGTAATATGTTTAGGTACATTAATAATAAACTTTAATGCTTTAGATTTTGAAACAATAGAATTAATGGCACCACATATGAATACTAATTTATTAAACTTTATAGCAGTTATGTTATTAGTAGCTGCTACAGCTAAAAGTGCACAATTAGGTTTACATGCTTGATTATTATCAGCTATGGAAGGACCTACACCAGTTAGTTCATTATTACATGCTGCAACTATGGTATGTAGTGGAGTATTTGTTTTAGTAAGATCATGATATATATTAGAATATACACCATCTATATTAATAGTAATATTATGATTAGGAGGATTAACAACAATAGTTAGTGGTTTAATAGCTGTAGTTACAAATGATATAAAAAGAGTTATAGCTTTATCAACAATGTCACAATTAAGTATGATGATGTTAGCTATAGGAGTAAGTTCTTATGAATTAGCTATATATCATTTATATTGTCATGCATTCTTTAAAGCTTTATTATTTATGTCAGCAGGATCTATAATACATAGTGTAATATCAGAAACACAAGATATGCGTAAATATGGAGGTTTAATAGATTATTTACCATATAGTTATACAACAATGTTAATAGCTTCATTATCTTTAATGGCTATACCAGGTTTAACAGGTTATTATTCTAAAGATATAATAATAGAATCATTATATGGTTCATATACTATAACAGGATATATAATGTATTATATAGCTACAACATCAGCTACATTAACAGCAATATATTCATTAAGAGTTATGTATTTAACATTCTATAATAATCCTAATAATAATAAATATACATATGGTTTAGTTCATGAAAATGTAAATATGGCTATACCTATGTTTATATTAACTATATATAGTATATTTATAGGTTATGCTAGAGATAATGTAACATTCCATATGGCTATGGGTATGCCTTATACTAATAGTTTAATAGAAACAGAATATACATTAACATCATTATATAAATTATTACCTTTAATATTAGGTTTATCATTATCTATATTATTAGTATATATATATGAATATACATATAAAATAATAAAATCACCTATATATAATTATTTAAACCAACGTATATATTTTGATCAATTATTAAATAATTTAGTTATAAGACCTACTTTAGTTTTAGGTGGTTATTTAAATCATTATGTTGATAATGGTTTATTAAAAGTATTAGGTAGTACAGGTATATATAAATTATTAAATTATATACCTGTATTATTAATATTTAATTTAATAATAATATTTATATAATCATAATTTATAACTAATATATATAATAATATATATTAAAATATAAGAATATTCAAAAATAATTAAATATCATCACTTATATATATATATATAAATATCTTAAAATATAATAAGGATCTTTTTAAAAAATAAAAGAGTATAAATAAAAATAAAGGATAGAGATAAAAATTGAAAAAAGATATATAAAATAAAATATTACTTTAAGGATCTAAAACTTATATATGGGAAGATTTAATAAATATGAAAATATTTAATCTAAACATGAAAATGAGGAAAAAGAATAAGTGAAATGAAACATCTGAGTAACTTAGGAATAAACCAACAGGGATTATAAGAGTAACGGTGAGTGAAATTATAAAAGTCTATAAGTAATATTAAGAAATATTGAATAAAGTAGTATCTACTACTAAGACTAAAAAGAATATATAAGATAAAAGTACCGTAAGGGAAAAAGAGTAAATAGAGTAATAAAGAGCAATTATAGTATAATGTACCTCTTGTATAATGGGCCAGTGAGTTATAAATATTAGCAAAATAAATAAATTAAAAATAATATGAGTTTAAACAATCATAAGTTAATATTTATAGGCCCGAAAGTAAACGATCTATACATGTCCAAGAATATTTATATAAAATATATATAAATATGTCTGAATAGGTAGATGTTGCAATATCTTCTAAAGAGATGTGTATCGAAGTGAAAGACAAATCTGGTTTACAGATAGCTGGTTTTCTGCGAAATATATATTAGTATAGCCTTTACAAAATGTAAAAATTGGTACAGCACTAAATCATGTTTGGGGGATTATATTCTAATTTTATCATCATTTTTTAACCTCGGAATCAATATACCATATATGTAAGGAGTCAGATTTATTGCGATAAGGTAGTAGATCTAAAAGGAAACAACCTAGATTATTTAATGAATGTCCCATATTATATATTAAGTGAACATAATCTGAATGAGTTATTATATAACATATATATTTTATAAATATATAGATTAGACATTTAGTCAGTGGGTTTGACAATAACCATCTGTTAATGAACATGTAACAATGCACTAAATGAAGAAGATATCCTATTTTAATAAGATAGGGTATTTTCATATCAATAATTTAGATAAAATATACGGGTCTAAATATATAACATTAATAATAAATATATTTTATAAATATAAATATAAAATATATGGTAGCAGAATATATAATGAAATATAAATAAATAAAAATTATATAGAATATGCTGGCTTGAGTAACGATAGGTAATATAAGATTACCCTCTATATCATAAGGTTTTACAATAAACGAACGGTCCCTAAGATTAAGAATATAGAAATATAGTAATTAATGGGAGATAATACAGGAAAAGTATAATAAACCGTACTGAAGACCGACACAGGTATGATAAAGGAGAATGAGCAAATTGTAGTAAATGAACTCGGCAAATCGATTAAAAAATAAATAATGTGCGACTGTTTACCAAAAACATAGCTTATTGCATATTAGTAATAATAAGTATAATAAGTGATATCTGCCCGGTGTTAGTTAATAAATAATAATTGTTATTAAGCGATTATTATATAAAGAACCTATAAACGGCGGTCTTAACGTGAGGATCCGAAGGTAGCGAAATTCATTGGCATATAATTGATGTCCTGCATGAATGAATAAACGATGCAATAACTGTATCTATTACAAGCTCAGTGAAATAGCAATTGCGGTGAAGATGCCGTATACCCGTAGATTGACAAAAAGACCCTATGCAGCTTTACTATATCTTGTTTTTGATTCTTATTATTTTTAATTATAAGTTATTATTTTATTTACTTATATAATATAATAATTATCTTATCTAAATTTATATCTTAATTAGATATATTAATTCATATATTATTATATGAATTTAATTAGAAACAGAAATTAGAAGTTAGTTTCGATGGGGCGTCGACATCAGCGAAAGCATCTGATGTGTCTATTTAATATTACTTCATATTTATTGAAGTTTATTATTATAAATAATTTATATTATTTAATAGAAAATTACGTACAAATAAATCTATATGGCAAATAGATATAATATAATAAAGTTTAACTTTATTATTACAAATAATGTAAGGATAATAACATAATTGTGCGATGATAATGACACTAACAAGTGAAATTAGTACTTACGTAGAGTATAGTGAACAGACATAATCTAAAGATAAGGATGTCGATAACGGATTAAAGTTACGCTAGGGATAACAGGGTAATACCGCGTGAGAGTTGATATCGTCAGCGGTGTTTGCCACCTCGATGTCGTCTAGACTCGTCCTCCTGGTAGTAGCAGCTAGGAAGGGTAAGACTGTTCGTCTTCTAAGGAGTTACTTGAGATGGGTTAATTACGACGTGAGTCAGTAATGATTTTATCATCTATGGGTTTTTTTCTTATTTGTTGCTTTGCGTGTACGAAAGGATAATTAAGTGCCTTCCTATGGTTTTTTGTATATATATATATTTATATTATATACATATTAGCTAAGAAGTTTGAGATTACATATTGATAGACTATTAAATATTAAATCCTACAAATAAGATTATAACATAGTAGACTACTATGTATTAATACATTTTTATTTAAAAATGTTAAACATATATTTAATATATGTTATATTATTTTTTATGATTTTATAATCATATAAGTTTATATATCAAATATACAATTTTTATATACTAACCCCTTTCTTATTATATTTTAAGAAAGGTAATATCTCTATATTACTATATATAATAAATTATTATAATATATAATATAAAATAAAGAGATATAATATATATAAAGGGATCATAGATTAATTGGTAAATCCTTTGCTTTGCATGTAAATAATATCGGTTCAATTCCGATTGATTCCAAGTGAATAAAAAGATAAAACATTTATAAAAATAAATAAAATGATAAGATTAGATGTACCAACCCCTTGATCAATAACATTACAAGATGCAGCAACGCCAAATCAAGAAGGGATACACGAATTATATGATATAATAATGTTTAATTTAATAGTAATATTAATGTTAGTATCATATATATTATTTGTAATAGTAAAAGATTTTAAAAATAATAAAATAGCTTATAAATATATGATACATGGGCAAGTATTAGAAATAGTATGAACAATATTCCCAGCAGTAGTATTATTATATATATCATATCCTAGTTTCACATTATTATACGTATTAGATGAGGTATTAACACCATCTATGACTATAAAAGTAGTAGGATTACAATGATATTGAAAATATGAATACTCAGACTTTATATTAGATACAGGAGAAACAATAGAATTTGAGTCATATATAATACCTGATGACATGTTAGAAGAAGGACAATTAAGATTATTAGATACTGATACATCTATAGTAGTTCCAGTAGATACTCATATAAGATTTGTAGTAACATCAAATGATGTTATACATTGTTTCACAATACCTTCATTAGGATTTAAAGTTGATGCAACACCTGGTCGTTTAAACCAAGTAAGTGCATTAATACAAAGAGAAGGTGTTTATTATGGTCAATGTAGTGAATTATGTGGAGTAAATCATGGATTTATGCCTATAAAATTAGAATGTGTTTCAGTTAACGAATTCATAGATTGATTAGGAGAACAAGTTTTATGTTTATGTAGCTTAATGGTTAAAGCAATGTACTGTTAATACATCGATTTTGGTTCAATTCCAAGCTTAAACGTTAGAATGTATAAAATTAATAAATAAAAATCTTATATAATATATATATATTAATTTAATATCTTTATATATATATATAAGTAAAAAAAATTCTTATTATGAATTTAATTAGTGGTTTATCAAGTATATTAGCTATAGGTTTATTATCACCGGTACAAAGTATATTATGTTTAATAATATTATTTGTAAGTACAGCTATATGTTTATATAATCAAGGTTTTATGTTAATGGGTATATTATATGTACTTATATATGTAGGAGCTATAGCTATATTATTCTTATTTATATTATCATTATTAAAAATAGAATATATAGAACAAGGTTCAATGTCACCTTTAATATTAACTATATTAATAGTATGTTTATTACCATTAGATATATTTAATATATATGAAACAGATAATATAATAGAAGAAGTTAGTACTGTTTGAAACGAATTAACAATTGTTGGTAATCAATTTTATACAGAATATGCTGTATTATTAATAATAGTTGGTTTAATTTTAATATTATCTGTTATAGGGGCTATAAGTATAACTAGATAAAATGTTAAATTTTGTAGAATTATTATTAATATTTGTTTCAGTTTTATTAGCTGTAGCTTTCTTAACAGTAGCTGAGCGTAAAACTTTAGGTTATATGCAACGTAGAGTAGGTCCTAATGCTGTAGGTTATTATGGTATATTAATGGCTATAGCTGATGCAGCTAAATTATTATTAAAAGAAATAGTTATGCCAACACATGCTGATAAATTAATATTAATTATAAGTCCTATAATATCATTAATATCAGCTTTTTTATGTTGATCATTTATACCATTTGCACCAGGTACAACAATAAGTGATCATAGTTATGGTTTAATATTTACATTAGCTATAAGTAGTGTAGGTGTATTTGGAACTTTATTAGCTGGTTGATCAGCTAATAGTAAATATTCTTTATTAGGTTCTATACGTTCTACAGCTCAATTAATTAGTTATGAATTAATATTAACTACTATAGTTTTATTATGTATATTATTAACAGGTACTATGAATTTATCTAAATATGTTGAATTACAAGAATCTATATGAATAGGTGTACCTTTATTCCCTATATCTATAATATGATTTATAGGATGTGTAGCTGAATGTGCTAGACCTCCTTTTGATAATGTTGAAGCTGAATCTGAATTAGTTTCAGGTCATATGACAGAGTATTCATCATCTATATTTGTTTTATTCTTCTTATCTGAATATACATCTATATTATTCTTATCAACTTTAACTAGTATATTATTCTTTGGTGGAGGTACTGGTATAATATTAGGTATAAAAGCTAATATATTTGCATTTACATATATATGAGTAAGAGCTACATTACCAAGAGTAAGATATGATAAATTAATACATATGTGTTGAGTTATATTCTTACCATTATTATTTGGTTTAGCTATATTCTTACCTTCTTTAATATACTTTATAGATGCTATAGTTTATCTATATCCTACTATATAAAAACTAATATATTTTATACCTTTTTT